TTTAATTTCAAGCATCACGTCCTTAAATATATACATTGGAGACCTAACGTACACCTTTTGGGGAATCGCTCTTTGTTAAAATTATAAGTATATAATTAAAGGGTATTGCCTGCAAAATTTAATTTTTTGCTGTTGTTGCTCTGAGTGAGAAGAATTTTGATTGCTACGTCCAACGCTCTATCAACTGAGCCATGAGACCAAGTTGGTTCGAGTATGTGATATCTCAAACTTATTACAGTGCATGATGCGGGAATGTAGTGTGGTGTAACACCGTATCCGATGTCCTAAATATATTTCCTCGAAAATGAACACCGTGTAGTTTAGTGTATTCATGACAAAAAACCACTGTAGGAAACGTATGGCATAATTTAAAATATAAAAAAATTTGGACCATTACATCTTCTTCCCCCAATGGTATAAACATTGCTTCGTTAATTAAACAAGCTGCACCTTGTATTACGATTTTCATAATGTCTGTTTAGGGTTTCTTTTCCTTGTATTTTTTCACTTCGTCTTTTCTACTACAGGTCAAAATTGAAAAAAAATGTCCATCCCGGTCACGTATAGGATAGTAGGACGAAGTCTTCCTATAAACAACTTGATCTTCTTTGACTGAGAACCCACCTATACCAGGCTAGGGCGTTTCTCATATGAACACAAATTATATAGGTTACTGTATACGTTAACAGAGAGCTTGCGTATCTCACTCAGGCGAGTAATTCCCTTTCAGCTACGCTAACCTGAACACTTCCATAGATGACTGTAACTATACATATAGCTGAAATGTGGGGAATAATAGTTTTAACAAATTGCATGATCTCTATTAGCCTTTTCTCAAAAGGGATAACAGTGCATTCTGGGATCGTTTGGAGGGACGAAATATATAGTGACTGGCGTCAAATATGTGAGAGAGTATAGAATATGAAATATAAACATTTTAGACGATCAAAAATGAAATCATAGCCAAGAATCTCATACAACATGCTATCGAGCATGCGTAGAACACGCTATTGCGGCGCTAAATATGGCCGCGGAGATAGACCCGGAGCGAGGGGGATTCGGCGTAATATTTCCCGAAGTGATGATATTTTCCGAGGTGCTTTGCCCCGAGGAAAATGTCATCACTGAGGGAAATATTGCCGAATCCCCCGAGCGGGGGGTCTATAAATGATATATTATACCGAAAGTTAAAGAACTCACTAAGTTCAGAATAAACTTTAAAACTTGCTGAATATTAAAACTACGCGAATACAATTTTTAATTTCTTATGTATACCTGAGTTTTTGACATTTCCTCTTTAAAATATTTGAACTTGTATCCTTTCGATCATTAAAGGTAACATACGTCTTGAAAATATTTTGTTAAATCAAATATTCTGTACGAAAATACGAAATTGCAAACAACAGCTCGCGAACGCCATATTGCTTCAGAGCGTGGTGTCCACGCGTCACGCGTCAGCGTGGGATACTATAATATCCAACGGTGGATCTGCCGTGGGATATTATAGTATCCCACGCTGAATTGCGAAATCATGAATTTGGGTGAAATACCGTAAAAAATCACATTATCACGTGGTACAAACGCTGTTTTTTCATTGGACAATTTGAATTTGAGGTATAATATTTAGCTATTTACTATTGGTACGTTTCTCAGCTGGACAGATAATGATGAGACACATTTGGAACACAGAAGAAGTAATAAAGTCTAAAGAAGTAATTATAAGTTATCATAATATTTTGAACTTTAAGTTCTGTTTCTATGATGCTGGCTACACACTTAAAAACGCACAAGTTGTTTACAGTTCTGCAAACAGGTTGTAACGAGGCTGTTGTTAATTTAAGTTGATATCAGGATGTGTTCGCGCTAATTCTAACCTTTTTTGTGACAACAAAACATTTTGTGAAAACAAGTTGTTATCACCTCGTGGCAACATTAGTGACGCTAAGAGTAACCCCCTCCCCCCTCCCAATCACCTAGAAGTGACTGATTGATTTGTGGTCATGTACATTTAGATAAATGCGTTGTATCCCTCTGGGCAACAAGTGGAAAATTAAGTTCTTTGCATGTTTTCATGGCTATAAAACATATAAAACGTTTCGTTTTGTGGTAACACCGCGTAAAGGAAATGCTGCTGCAACCTGTGGCTTGGCTGGACTCATGCTTAGCAACTTTTTGACTTCGTCTCGGGAAATGAAACTCTCGGTAAAACAAAAACTGTTTCCCTTGGAAGCAAACACTGCATGAGTGTATGTGGTGTATTTATTTTTAGATATGAACCAGATTTTGAATCATGATATCGAATCTGTACAAAGTGATTGGTTGCTAGACACTTCATATTTCATAACGTTGATCATGTACATTTTGGTGGTCAATCGTATTGACTTGTCGATCACAGCACAGTATGTTGTATATATTTAAATTAATACATTTAATTTAGAAGCTGAAGTGTATTTTTCTTATTGAAAACTTTGTGAGCATCCCAAACTTTCAGTGACCTTTTTAAATATTTTTATTTAAAAAGATCACTGAAAGATTTCAAAAAATAAATCTACTGTGGCCCATAAGGGATAACCCTTCTTCGTCGAAACATGCAGCTTCTCCGTACAAATGCGTTGTTATTCTATGGGACCCAAACTTCTCCCTGAAATATTGCCGTTGTTCTGTCGCGGAAACCTTTTTCTCCGCAAAAATATGCGGCTTCTCCGTAGAAACAAGCATCTTCTGCGTGGAAACGCGTAGCATTTATGTGAAAAACGATACGGTGCGACAAACGGAGATTTCTCTTCCGTAGAAACATGTAGCTTCTCCGCAAACACATACCTTCTCCGCGCAAACAAGCACGTGCCTTCTCCGTTTGTGAAGACTTTCCGGTCCCAGTCTTTCCATGTATGCGTAGAACTCGGTCAATCTGTCAACATGACACCAACACACACCAACGCCAACTTACATGTGTGTGTTCGAGTACATAACACCAACACGCACAAAAACTATGAATATGTATTTTTGAAAATCAGCTTAAAATATACAAAACAATAATTTATATTGAGGGAACTTTATCCGCGTCAGAAATTTTGAGGTATCTAAATTACGGCTCACGTAAAAAATTGTCTGTGCATGTAAACTTGCTTTTGTCATGAAAAACGTGCCGCTCAGAGTGATTTTGACAAAAATGCTGACTTCAGCAATAGTATTGTCCAAGTTGCCACCACAGCTGCTCATATATTATAGTATCTATCTACAGGGTGTATCAATAAAAACGCAACCTCGGAATTTCCTAAGAAATCACTTTGCAATTCTTAAGCATAAAAGATTTTAGGCCCCTGGGAATTGAAATCGAATTGCTAATAGATCATATTACTATTGTTGTGCATTAAATAAATGCATAAATTTTGCTTTATGCACTCGCGTGTGCAGTAATTTTGACAGTTATGCTATTTTAAATTCCCAGGCGCCTAAAATCTTTTGTCTTTAAAACAATGTCGATTTCTTGGGAAATTCCGAGGTTGCGCTTTTTTTGATACACCCTGTATATCCATTGGAATCCGTTCAGTTATTCAAATCTGTCTTCGCTTAATTTAAGTGTTTTAATCGCCTCAGCCAATTTGTCTACTAAACGTGTCAGCGTTTCCGCATCGCTAAAACGTTATGTAAAATATTATTTTCAACAAAGTTGGTTTTAAAACCAGTGTTTTCCACCTTTAGTTTAAATTTGTATATTCCTGTGAGCGATGTGTTTATCTTTCCCATAATACTTGATGTAAATGCTTATATTATTACTGGTACCCGGACATTTTGCCAAAAGACACTTTGCCGAAAGACACTTTGCCGAAAGACATTTTGCCGAACGGACATTTTGCCGACGGTCATTTTGCCGAACGGACATTTTGCCGAACGGACATTTTGCCGAACGGACAGTTTTCCGAAAGGACAATTTGCCGAAAGGACAACTTGCCGAAAATAAAGATGTTATTTCGTCAAAATGTTCGGGACTGTGATTCATTTCTCAACTGTGTAATTCTCAACCATTGTGTAAAATAACCATTATATGGTCATTAGCAGTGCATAATGGTCATTAGCCGTGCATAATGGTTGTTAGCAGTGCATAACCATATTGACTATTGGTAGCTTGTTGGAGCGGATGACTCATTTGTTTGGAACGTGTTTTGACGTCAGATCGTAAACAAACAAGCGTATATAAAGACGACGTAAGCGAATTTCACTTCGAGAATCATGGAATACATTCACAGTTCTCGGGGAAATCACATTCATGAATGATTCATGAATGATATCAAAGTTTCTGTCATCAAAATCGACAATTAATGACTTTAATCACAGAAACTTTGACCGTGTAAGCGAACCTTTAAAGTTCAGAGGATATCTCTATTTTCGGCAAAATGTCCGTTCGTCAAACTGTCCGTTCAGCAAAATGTCCATTCGGCAAAATGTCCGCGCGGCAAAACGTCCGTTCGGCAAAATGTCCGTTCGGCAAAATGTCTTTCGGCAGAGTGTCTTTCGGCAAAATGTCCGGCCACCATTATTACTAATGGTTAGCTTTGCTTTCGCCATGTTTATAAATTTTTTCAAATAACATTTCTCGACATTTGTTGCTCTAAAATTGACACTTCATTTTTTCAGCACCATTCTTACTGACCATCACATATAGCAAAATTATATCAGTTATTGTTGAGAAAAGAATGTTCCAACGCTTCGTGAGCATAGGATCGATCATTAATTTCATAACTAATAAGCGATGTAATAAACTGTCGAGCATGAAGATGATCAAAATTCCCCAAGTTTACTGGATTTCCCTTCAGGATATTTCCCATGCAGTCAGGTGAAGAACCAAATAGGGGTTTGCTTTGGCTTAAAATGAAGAACGCGCAATCATGCCTGGCACCTGATTTCTTTTTGAAACGACAATTCTCGTACGATTTATTGATTCAATTACTTCTGCACGCATCCAGTTTCGGGTTCCTTTTGAATCTGTAAAGTCTGTCGTTTCATCTTCTTTTAGAACGCGACTTATTCCAAAGTCGACTAATCGATCTCATGCGACCTTCAATGTCGATAAATATGTTTAGAGGTTTTAGATCTTTAAGCAAGATCTGTCGATCTTGTAAAAATGTAAGTCCTGTTAATATTTCTTTGATCATTCTTGGGCCATGTTGTTGGAAGCAGTCAATGTTTTGAGACTGAATGTAATTGTTCAAGTTTTCTTCACAGAGATCGATAATAAGGTACACAAGGGTATCATCGCGTAAACAATGTCGGTAGCTGACTATAAATGGGAATTCCTCTGTCTTTATCATATTTAAAATCTCGTTCTCATTTTTAGCTGCATCTTCTCCACTTTGTGTTAACGTTCGTTTTACCGCGACTTCACTTCCATCCTCCATCACACCAACATAGAGCCATTGCCAATTTTCATTTCTTTGTTTGGGAAAAAAAGCCTGCATTGATACATCCATTTGTTATTAAAAATAGTTGTTACGTACGGTAATTTAGTAAATACACACTGAAGTAAAGGAGACAGATGGAAAGCAGTGAAGGAAGGTAAAAGAAATGAACCCCGAAAAAGAGAATTGTCAGGGAGATGTCAAAAGTAAAGAATAGAAATAAAGTAGGCCTAAGTATGAATGCATGTATGGCTCAAACATGAATTCATCCTTAAAATATTATTGAACGGTCTGTTCCAGTGTAGGTATATAGTGTCGATAATAAGAAACTGCGGATGGACAGGGATACAACTACTTGAAGAACTTCGATGTTTGGAGCAAGGCTTTCTGTCTGGAATTTAGTAGTTGGACTTGGATACCTTAAATTCTTAACTTATTCCATACTTGTTTCATGTATTTTTCGTATTTGTTGTAGTTTTCCTGTTATTTGTATTATTATATATAAAATATTCTGTAATACGACTTACATTTTTTTACCCCTTGTTTTTACTAAATCCATCTGATTGATATATGTTTTTGTCACGTGATCGCTTTTATATTCATAGGTATAAAAGCTCATCTAATTTTTCTGAGCCACGCTACTAACTTCCCAACAAAGAGCCATCGCTTGAAATGTCGAATTTTCCCCTTGTATTTTTCAGGTAGTTGTATCCTTATCGATTTGCACCTTTCTTAAAAACATTGCTACTTATTGAAAGGCCATAATTAATGGAATGAATGGCTTTCCGTGCAGGACAGCGTGATCCATGCACGAGGGATGTCGCGAGACTTTCGGAAAGCTTAAAAATACTCGAGCCGCAGGTGAGTGTGTTTTCATGCTTTCCGAAAGTCGAGCAACATCCCAAGTGCATGGACCGCGCTATCCTACTTGGAAAACAATTTGGTAATTGTTTTATAAAGTAACTACAGTAATACAATGACATTATGCATGCAGGATGGCCTGATCCTGCACGGCTATTGACCAATCAAATTGCGTGTTTCACTTAGTTATTATATGGGCTAAAAGTATTCACTGTTTTGTATTAAATACTTATCGTTTATGAGGAATGGTATGTATTACCTTGTTCGATTGTATGGGATACATTTTTTCAACATTTAAATTTTTTCACGGTGTTTAATTAACAGACTTCGTTAATTCCGACTTCAAAACATTTGTAATCTCATGATGATCAAGTTCTCTACTATGCTCAACGAGAGTCTTTTCTCCTTTCTCATTCAGAATTTTTCGACTCGCCTCACATCAATGTACTTCTCAATAAGAAGCTGTGCGAAATCGATCAACTTGTGGACTACAGCCATGTCTAGAATGTCAATACTAAGATCAAACTTCCCTTTATATTCCTCAAAATATGTACTTGGAAAGCCATATTTTAACATGTCTCCTGATTGTATCTCTACAGGACAGGGTAGAACCGTTTCGTTTCCGAGCATACTTTTAGAATTCACATCGCCACCATGTTCAACTAAATATTGTACAAGTTCTATATCGTCTAACCACACAGCGAGTTCAACAGCTGTCCTGCGAGCAAGATCTGTACCATTAATATCCGCACCATTTTGAACTAAACATTTCGTAATGTCAAACAATCTATGCTTTATAGCACTGTGAAGAATTGTTTCTCGGCGAATGTCTTGGCCATTGACCTCAGCGCCACACTGACCTAGACACTTGTCAATGTGTAGTGATCTATACTCGACAGCAATGTGAAGAGCCGTTTTCCCTTTCATATCCTGATTACTTACTTCAGCACCATGATCAACTAAATACTTAAAAATCTCTAGCGATTTGCATTTGAGAGCTTTGTAGAGAGCTGTTTGGCCCAACATATTTTTGGCATTTACTTCAGCACCATGTTCAACTAAATACTTGACAATTTCCAGTGATGCACCCTCTACAGCATTGTGAATTGGTATACCCCACTCATCTTTGCTATTTACCATTTTGGCGCAGAAACTCTTATTATGTAATTCATCACCATGCGCAGTTAAATATTTGAAAATATCGGAGAAATCCGCTTTCCGCAGCACAGTGAAGAAATGTCCATTCATATTTACCATTTATTTGTGCGCCATGCTCAACGATATACTTGACAACCTCTTGTGATCCACTCTTTAATGCACTCCAAAGAACTGTGGTAAACCACTCATTTTTACCATTTACGTCCGCGCCATGTTCAACTAAATACTTGACAATATCCAGTGATCCACATTTTACAGCTCCATGACTCATGACTCCATGAACAGTCGTTTTGCCCAACAAATATTTACCATTTACTTCTGCACCATGCTCGACTAAATACTTCACAATCTCTAGTGATCCGCATTCTACTGCACTGTGAAGTATGCTCAACCGACCATTACTATTTACATTAGCACCATGCTCAACTAAATACTTGACAATATCTAGTGATCCACACTTTACAGCTATGTGAAGAGCCGTTCTGCCCCGCAAATCTTCACCATTTATTTCAGAAACAAGCACAACTAAACACTTCACAAAGTCTAGTGATCCTTATTCAACCGCACTGTGAAAAATTATGCCCCTCAGACCGTTACGATTTACTTGAGCACCATGCTCGACTAAGTACTTGACAATATCCAGTGATCCACACTTTACAGCTCTGTGAAGAGCCGTTTTGCCCCACAAATCGTAACCATTTACTTCCGCGCCATGCTCAACAAAATACTTAACAATCTCTAGTCATCCATATTCTACCGCTCTGTGAAGAACTGTTATCTCCAACGGATCATTACGACTTTACTTCAGCACCATGCTCAACTAAATACTTGACAATATCTATTTATCTGCATTCCACAGCGCTCTGAAGAACTGTTTTCCCGAATATGCTTCGACTATTTACTTCAGCACCGTGCTCAATTAAATACTTAACAATGTCTAGTAAGTGACACCCTTCATCTTCGTAAAAAGGCGAGCGACACCTGTCAACAACAATGTGAAGAACAGTTTGATCATGGCAATTTACACTATTTACGTCAAGTCCTTTTTCTACCAAATTCGTGACCACTCGACGAACCACTCATAATTCTTTATGACGTTCTTTTTATCAACATAATGTAAACATGGATGGAGTTAACAAAATCGCAATTAATTTTGAAGTTCCATTGTTCCAAAACTGCAAAAGAACACATATAATTTGAGGACAAGGTATATTGCATTATTGAAATATATGAATAGAAAAATTGTTCTAACTAACACAGTCTAAAAATGGTCTGTCTTGAAAATTGCGTAATGGTTCTACTAAGCAAAAAGAAGGATAAAAATTTACAATTCACATTATTATAAGTAATACCGTGATATGAGTGATTAAATGTCCCCGAAAGCTGAGGAGGTGCATTTGACGAGAGGATGTCACTCAGTAATTACTACACCCAAGCGCAAATCGGTAAATATTGATAAGCACTCCTAGCCTATCTATATGCACATGAACATGTCAAGTATAGTCATGTAACACATCAGGAAATCAAAATGGTGCAAAAACTATTATAATTAACAAAATTCAATGCCAATGTTTTTACTGTCTTCGTTGAATTATAAAGTACTTTGTAGAGTTGAATGGATAACCATATGAGAGAAGCATGCTTGCAACAATGACAGTTGTAATTGGACTTTCTAACTCGCAATCCCACTACAAACACGAAACGTACGCTGACTCGTATCTCAGTTATTGCCATGATTGCTATGCATATTGCTATGGATGGGTTTCGAACCAGCAAGCTCCGAGTTACTGGATATCAATCTCCAGACTATAACATTTTGACGGACTATAACTAATACTGTGTTATACGTACACGAATAATAAAATCGCTATGCCAAAGTAGCGCTGGCTAACATTCTAATGATTATAAATAAAATAATTGCTCTAAAACTATGAATTGCGAAATCTTAGGCAATCGAAAGAACAGGACTAATCGAATTGATGCAAGTAATGAATTCATTCAATAGGTTTTTTGTGATAGGTTCTGTAACTCCCACGCGTTAAATCGAAATTCCTTGTTCTACTTCGACTAATATAGGGACGCATATATCTGGGCACATCATGGGAGTTGTTGCTCACTAGCAACTACCAAGTATCACGCAAAGAACACACACACACGCATAGAATGTTCAAACGATAGATGATAGAAGATGTCAACTACATATAATAAAATACAAAATGCAAGTTATAACCGATAAATAGCAAGTCAATATCGTATAGAAAGTATATATATATATATATATATATATATATATATATATATATATATATATATATATATATATATATATATATATATATATATATATATATTTATATATATTTATATATATTTATATTTATATATATTTATATATTTACGAGTAGGTTTGTGTATACGAAACGCAAAGAGTGCTCAATATCATAAAGATAGAGCAAATGTAGAATTTCGCTTACCTCAAAATTCCGCAACAGTCTGTTTCATCAGTAAAGAATCATCAGGCGGTATGACGAGTTTCGAAAAATAGGACTACTTATATGTGTTTTGGCCGGAACGTGGGGGTGTGTGGGTGAAACAAAGCATGCATTCATCTATTGTTTGCGTTGTTTACGCGGAAATGCCTAATCGAATTGTGGGAGTGTATTGATTGCGTTGTTTACGCGAAATTTCTTCCTATGTCTGCACGTAGATATAATTTCCATTCTTTAATTGAGTAAACGGTTTTGGTTTTCTTTCAAAATACAAAATTTTTCCTCTAAACATAAATTACATCGTTTTGATCCTCCCGTATACGAAATAGCGCGTTTCAAAATTTGCCAATTGATATTAAAATCTTTCTTGCTATCTTTCAATGTCCAAATATATTTCGAAAGTTCAGTTTTGTTTGAGTGCTCTTTATGCTCGAAAGTATAGTTATGGTTAGCCAAACGCTCTTTAAATGTAGTTGATGTCATGCCAATATAATTCATGGTCGTGTTAGGGTTGCTTGTTGTGATTGTTGCTTTGTATACTCAGGGCCGCCCAGAGGTTGGCGGGGGCCCGGGCCAAATTTTTTTTAGGGGGTCCTACCTAAAATAATTTTTCAGGAAAAATTTTTTCCGGATATTATTTTGGCGAC